GTGGGTTCCGGAACCCACTGGGTTCGTTGATGACGGCCACTGGTTACCACTGAGCTTTTTTATTATACACTCAATGTATTTACTTCAGGCATCATCCCACTATCATTTACAACCCGCCCAAAGAGGAAGAAAAAGAAAATACTGGCAACATATTGCAAGAGAATCTTGTCAAGTATGAGTGGGCAACTTTAGGTAACGTACTATTGAAGTCTTTCTTGCCAGCATTTGCCATATGTATTTCGATTGTTTGATATGGATGTTATGCAGCACCATCTCCTTCGAAGATGTTACTCGTTCACAATGGTGACACGTCGAAACACTTCAGTACAGTCGAAGACGATCATCCAGAAGTTCCGGCTAGGACGCAAAGGGTATGTTTGCAGTGTCCAACAGTAGTGAGAATCTGCAGTCTGCCATTTTTCAAGCTTGCGTCGCATGTAGTTTTTGGTCTAGTCTCTGCATATGTTAAAGATTACAGATTTTGGCGAAGTTGGAAAGTTCTGGGCTCACATCGAAATGTGAAGTACTTCTGAACGAACGTTTTGCTAGTGAATCCGAGTTGGAGGCTGTTCATGAGAGACCCTACATACACAAAATGAGGCGAACTGCAGAGGTATTCAAGGTTTCATAGTAGTCGACTTCGCGTTTCTTATAGCTCATAATGACATATTACGGAACTGTGAAATTAGAAATATTTATTAATTTGAATGGAGTAAAACAAGAATTTGTATGTTATCCAGATGACAGACGATGAGCTAAGAACCACCGAAGATGGGCTGAATTCCATCTACCTCACTCGCGATTCATTTTCAATCGCTTGCGGAAGTGCTGGCGCGGTACTTGAGGTGATTTTGCTTTCTATGTCTTCTATTCTTCTCCGACTTCATCGCTTACGGATCATCGAGTTTGGTCAGACTTATTGGTCACAAACCTCCCTGATTTCTAAAATGGCTTCTACCTCTATCATCAATGTTGGCTGCTCGTTCGCGCGTACGTTTTTGGCTGCTCTTTAGTGATAGAATAGCTTGAAAATGATGGATGTCTGATCTGCACACTGTCATATCAGCTGCAGTTCTTCTAGTCGCTTATCTCGTTTTTCAAATATTGATTTTTGGTTCGTAAAGCCATTAACACGTGTCTGGTTTATTTGATCTATGCATAACATAAAATTTTATTTTGTATGCATAACGCAATTATTTACATACCCATCAAAAGACTGATAGTGTCATAAGTAAATTTCTTAACCGTAATTCATGGAAAATGCTTTGTGTCTTCTCGGATACCTATTATGCCTCCTTCTCAGTCTTGGAGTCATCTTTGTCTTCATCTCTGAGAAATACTTCACGTTTTGTGTCTATAATAACCCAATAATAACCAACCTGTTGATTGCTGCTCTAGCTTTCCATCGTTTATCCAGATAACCATCTGATACTAAAATTCTGAAGAATAACATCCCGTTGATGATGAGGAATACTGCTGGCCCTCCTACAGCTACTGAAACGTAGAACGGGTGCAGCTTATTTATTTGAGTCAGCGCCCAGCGCACGTAAACTGCTTGTGAGACGAATCGGAATATCACGAAGCTGAAGTAGAGAACATTTCACCGAATTTTTTCTTGTTGTTGCTCGTTTTATCCCTCATCTTTATCCTTTCCCTTGCTACTCTCATTTCTCAAGTCTCTTCTTGTCATTCTAGAAGGATGAAAGCTCGAGAATGAAAGCTCGTTTGGCACTTAGTGAAATGAGTATGGTTTTTCTGGATCTTAGTCTTTTTCTTTTTTTCGAAAATTTACTCGTGCTGTGAAAACAGGAGAAAGTGGGTTGCTGACATGCTCACGTATTTGCATTATTATCTCTTTTTGGCCCTTGAGTGAAATATAGAGGCTGAACCTGAGCATTGTATGCCAGCTAGTCCTTACAGTCTGTCTCAGTAGGGATCAGGCTAACTTGTTGGCGTGAAACGCGCAGCTCTGGTTTTGCGCTGCATATGCGCGTTGTCGAAGAGAGCGAAAGACTGAAAAGAGGGCAGACAAGCAGGCCGCGAATAGCAAGGCAGACTCACTCCGTGCCAATTTTGGCCTGATTGGTATTGGGACAAACTGTACAAGGTGTCCCAAAAAATAGAACGTTTCTTTAATAACTCTCTCGCTTCCAAGTTTTTCGCCGAGCTTTAGGTGTCATTCTGTAGAGCGAGTTTCAACTTAGATTTACAGCATGGAGCGAATCATCTATCAC